TAAAAAAAAACCAGGAAAATCAGAAACTATATCTATGTACAAACTGACTCCTACACCGGCTGCATACAGTTTTAGCCCGACAGAAACCCATTTTCCCTAACTGTGAGCTTCCGTCCGAAACAGGGGATTGCTGCATGCTGTTGTGTCTTGTTTTTCAGTAGTTCTCGCATTTCGGTTATGATTTTCGATCTTACCGACGTCTCGGTTTCTTTGGTGTTCGCATCTCACCGGCCTCGTGCCTCCTGTATCAGAGCCCCCTAGCGGCTGTCGAGGTAGTGTTCGTGCCTTCTGTTAGGGTTCTCGGCGTGAACGGAAACTTCCATTTTTGGAATCCTTATTTTAAGCGAAGTCACCAGGCTAGACACGTCACGGGTTGTCTATGTCGAGGGAGGCGCTTTGTGTGAGTCATCAAAGCTGACGTTCCGTGGTGTCCCCAAAAGGGGTTGACTGAAGTCTAAGCAGTCGCAACGGTTAGACATGAAGAAGAAGACACGATCGCCGGGACAAGAGCTTTATTAGCCTGACGTTTCGGATTCTTGCTCGAATCCATCATCAGAGGCATAAGCGGATAAGGATGGTTCATGCACATGCGGCTGCAGTACTTATAGGATGCAGTAGCCATGCTACCGCATACCTATGAATATTCACGGCTCCCTCACCTTCATCAGGGATCGTTGCACGTGGCGTGATGGCCGATATTCGCGTCGTTAATTGCTGCAATTTCATCACGTGCGTTGGATGTTGGTGTGATGATTGCTCGACCATCTGACGCGTTGACCCGGGTGTTGGGAAGAGTGTTCACCAGTGCGCTCCCCGCGTGGCCAATTACTCCGCCTAGACGAAGTCTCAGCACGCTGTATTGAATGGGAAGATCGTTGCACTTGTTAATGGACTGGGAGCCAGTAAACTATGACTCAAGCAGCTCCCGGCTCACGCGGTTGTCACCTCTTGCGAGAATTTCGGCCTCGTCAAATTTGAATGTGTGGCCGGAACCCGTCGAATGAGCCGCAACTTGAGAGCTGGCGTCATTTCTCCGCACCGCTGCAGCGTGTTCGGCCATTTGCGTTCGGAGCTGTCTTCCGGTTTCTCCGACGTAGTTGCTTTGTCCGCAACTGCATCAGATCCGATAAACGACTCCAGACGTTTCTTGCCGTGGCAGTGGGTCTTTTGGTTCCATAAACTGACGCCTGATGGTTGCCTCCGGCCTGTGTGCAACTCCAACCCCAAGTGGTGCGAGAAGGCGGCCAACAGTTTCCGAAACGTTCTTGACATATAGAAGCGCTCGCCAAACTTTGGTGTCCGTGCGGTTAGGCCTTTCGTCCATTTTGCGTATGCATCGGTTGACAAAGTTGCGCGGGTAGCCATTGGCTTTGAAGACCCGTCGGAGGTATTGTAGTTCAGCAATCTTGTCTTCCGGCTCACTGCAGTGCGTTTCGACACACCGATAGAGCGTCCTTACACAACTGCGTTTGTGGCTGATTGGGTGGTTGCTGTTGAAGTTCAGTACTTGCATCGTATTTGTCGCTTTCCTGAACACTTTGGTCTTTAGTCCACCACAATCCTTGCGGCATACGAGGACATCCAGGAAGGCCAACTGGTTGTTCTCTTCATCCTCCATCGTGAATTGTATGTCCGGGAAGATCGCATTCAGACGTTCCTTGAATGCCAGCAGTTGATCCCGATCGATAACGACGAAGGTATCATCCACGTACCGGGCCCAGAACTTCGGTTTGTGGTGTTGGAAGACCGGCGACTCTAACCGTTGCAGGACCGCCTCGGCGATGAACCCCAAAATCGGCGAACCCATGGGTGTGCCCTTCACTTGTTCGTAGATTTTCACGTCGAACGTGAAGTACGTCTTGAGACAGAACTTTAGGAGCTGAAGGACTTGGGCGCGTCCAAGACGATTCTCCGTTTTATCGTATTTGATTTGTAGAAGCAGCTCGATTGTCTCGATCGCCCGGTCCTGGGGAATAGAAGTAAAAAGGGATGTAACATTAAAAGATACCATGACCTCGTTTGGATGGAGGCTTACCCCTTTGAGTTTCTCCAGGAATTCTGCTGACGAAGAGACCGTGGTGTCTGACTCAGCGGTCAGGAACTTGTGACGCCGGAACAGCCACTTAGCCAGTCCGTACGTTGGAGTCCCTTTGAGCGACACGATGGGTCGGAGAGGAGCGCCGTCTTTGTGCACCTTAGGGAGGCCATAGAATCGGGCCAAAGCCGTATCTTGGGGTCTCGCCATGCGTCTGTCGGTCGGTGTTATTGCACCCGAGTTCTCTAAGGCCAACAACGTACCATTGATTTCGCGGTGACAACCGCATGAGCCGGGAGCTGCTTGAGTCATGGTTTACTGGCTCCCAGTCCATTAACAAGTGCAACGATCTTCCCATTCAATACAGCGTGCTGAGACTTCGTCTAGGCGGAGTAATTGGCCACGCGGGGAGCGCACTGGTGAACACTCTTCCCAACACCCGGGTCAACGCGTCAGATGGTCGAGCAATCATCACACCAACATCCAACGCACGTGATGAAATTGCAGCAATTAACGACGCGAATATCGGCCATCACGCCACGTGCAACGATCCCTGATGAAGGTGAGGGAGCCGTGAATATTCATAGGTATGCGGTAGCATGGCTACTGCATCCTATAAGTACTGCAGCCGCATGTGCATGAACCATCCTTATCCGCTTATGCCTCTGATGATGGATTCGAGCAAGAATCCGAAACGTCAGGCTAATAAAGCTCTTGTCCCGGCGATCGTGTCTTCTTCTTCAAGACTGCTTCCTGGGACTCGTATCTTCGCTTCTATTGACACGGTTAGACATTGTCTATGGGCCGGCCCGACGCGAAATCTCCATCACTACGGAGACACGCGTGCACTGGGGATCAGTCAGGGCAGTTCGGTTATGAATGCTGGACTGTGCGCGCGGAAAGTGAGCGAAAACTGGAGGTGTTTGGCCACCGCTGTCTGAGATCCCTTCTTCGAGTTAAGTACACCGACTTCGTTTCAAATGAGACAGTCTGCGCTCCCTGCTAAAACATCGTTTGGATATCTCAGGCCGTCTGAGAAAGGTGGTAATGGACGCGCTGTTCATCGTCCACCTCGTAAGGTGGGTGTTGTTTCACTTGGTTTGGCGTCCTCACCAACCGGCAGGTAGTAAAAGGACGAAAGGCAAGTCAAGATCTGGCTCGATGTAATTTGTCAATGCATGGGAGAGGTTCCTTGGTATTTGGTCTCTGTCGCCGGAAGAGAGAACGTGTCGAGTTGTCTAGATCCACTGCCGCAAATCGTCACGCGCGGAGAGGTACAGTGCGAGACACCATCGAAAGCGGTTAGATCAGACACGATCGCAGCCGTACCAAGAACAGGTACAATGCCTACCCGAGGACTGCGTTTCGTAATCATTCCGGCCTTCCGTGCATAGTAGGTGTGCTAACTCATGAAATGGCAACCGAGACTCTGAAATGTGTTTACGACTCGAGAAGATTACTTAAGTAGGGTTGTAGTATGAACCACCGTGCAGCATAACTCCAGGATGCCGGCTTTTGAACGAACTCCTTTCCGACCGCCTGAAAAGATGACCACTTAAGTAGTGTGAATCTTTCCCATTGATTTACGATGTTTCATAGAAATCATGCATAAAAATACTCACCCTTTTACTCATTTGGTAGAAAATTGCGTGTTATTTAGATTTTATCCTTGAAGGAAGGGTATAATTCGGTTTTAAAAAACTTCCATTCCTGAATAATTTTGAACATGATCTGCCGTTACGCTTGCATTCGGGGTTGCCAAACTACGAGCTGTGCATTTTCCGCGTACAGTAAATCATACGTTTCTCTACAGCATTAAGGGGAGACTATATGGGGTTAATAAAATTTAGCAGCGGATTTGAAGCATATTGCCAACTGATATTACCGACAGAGACAAGGGGGACTGGAATGGCCATTTCTGGCTTATTAGCCGTCGTCAGCCAGTCATACCCAACCCCGAAGTGTGGCACACCCGAGGCTCGAACTCGCGACCTGTTTGTTAGAAGTCCATGCCTCTAACCACTGAGCCACGAGCCCGTTGCTCTGTCGGTTTTCGACATTGGTCAACGCAGAGACACGATATCTTATGAACGGACATTTCACGGTCTTAAAAAAATTCATGATTAAGTTTTATTGAAAACCGGAATATACCCTTATTTCAAGTATAAATTTAAAGAAGACGTGATTTCCTACTAAATGAGTATAAGAATGAATTTTTTATGCATGTTTTCTATGAGATATATTTGAATTTCTGAGGGCATCGAAAATCAATGCGAAAAATGCATGCTACTGAAGTAGTCATGTCTTACAGTTGGCAGTGTCGTGTGTTCTACTGCGGTCGTGGGCATTTCGGATCTACGCAGCGGTAACATTTGTCTGCAGGGCGCGAGGTGGGAGTGATCGAGGGGACTGTTCTCAGTTCGCCAGAAATGAACCCTCAGAGACATCTAATTATGAGGGTAAGATTTGGCTTTTCTTCCAGTTTCCCATGTGCAGACGGTAAACTGCCCCTGTAGAATTCTTGGTAAATTGAGTCTCGCATATAAGCCAAAATAGATTTCGGTGCATATACGGTACTTTGGATAGAATAAGGTAATAATAAAAAACGTACAAACCTCAAGAGTGGATACCCCAGACAACGAATTCCTTTGTTACGGTTCGAGCTATTCGAATTCCCAGCTCAAGGTCGGAATAAAAAAACTAGTTAATTAAAAGAACGCCGATCACGCTCGAAAGAGGGTTACCTGTGGGCACCACTGGTGCTCAGTGTGCGCGCAACTAAAACGCGCGAACCAGAGCCCTCCAGTCGTCCAGAAATCGGCTTCGGTCCTGGGGCTAGCGCGACAGCGGATGTCTGGGGAGGTCTCCTGATGAGGTCATGAGCTCCTGTTGTTGTTGAATTTGTGGGAAGGTGGTTTCCACGCGCCACTCTAGATCTCCGGGTTGGTACCGGGCAGCGGCGAGTGAGTATTCGTGGATGGGACTCAACGTTCGTCATGTCGTGGTGGACAGGCAAGTCGCCGGATCAATGCGACGTCTCCAGCTGCCTTTTCTATTGGACACGAGGGCTTGGCGGTAGTCTTAAGTGAAGGCTAGACCACCGGATCGGTCTTCCTGTCTTCGGGCAAACTGAATTGGCGGTTATACACATTTGCTGAAAATAAGTGCCCAACATGCCAGGTGGGCATATGACCCTCACTGTTGTGGTTAGGATCTCACCCGATCCCTTTCTGTCTGCCCGCCAGCTTGCAACGGCGACAACGAACGCTGTGCCATAGGACACATATATAGTTCGACCGTCAAGCTCGACGATGTCCACTGTGTGCTCCACAGAAAGGTGAGAGCAGGGACGGTGACTTGTGTACAAATTTAGTTTATAGTGATAGTAGACTTACACAGCATCCACCGCACTCCCTCCTCCCCCCCCCCCCTGAACCCGATGTCAAGACAGAGCCAAGAAGGCCGAAGTGGGCGGGGAAGGGCGCAGGCGGATGGCAGGATCGAGCCCAAACCTTGGCTTTCCACTCCACATCCCCTGGTCCACACAACAAATAACCAGATTTTTGATTCACAGCAACAATGGAGGGTAGCAGGGTCCCAGTCTGCGCGACGTGCGCCGGCAACCGGGTCTGCCACCGTACCCCAAAAATGTTGGCATTTGTTACGGTGCGCAAAGCCGATAACGCCTGACAGAATCTGATATGGCCTCCGTGATGATTTCTCGGCAGTTTGGCCCGCTGTCACCAGAATAGTTGAGTGCCCGCGCCCTCCCCACGTGACTGATTCCCCAGCTCAGGGCATGTCTCAGCACCAAGTACGGTACCGGGAAGTCATTGCGTTTGTTGATGGATTGCGGGCCTGAGAACCATGATTCAAGCAGCTCGCGGCTCACGTGGTTGTCAACTGTTGCGAGAATTTCGACCTCTTGAAACTTGAAAATATGGTCGCGTTCCGGGGAATGAGCTGCTACCTGAGAGCTGGCGTCTTTCCTCCTCACCGCTGCTGCGTGCTCGGCCACGCGTGTACAGAGGAATCTTCCGGTTTATCCGACGTAGTTGCTCTGTCCGCAACTGCACCAGATCCGGTAAATGACTCCAGACGTTTCCTGCAGTGACCGCGGACCTTTCGGCCTCATGACTTGACGCCTGATGGTTGCTTCCGGCCTGTGTGCAACCCAACTCCAAGTGGAGTGAGAAGGCGGCTGACAGCTTCCGAGACGTCCCTCACGTACGGAAGCGCTCGCCATAATTTAGGGCCGGTTGTTTTTGGTTTCTGGCTTCTTGTGCGTGGACATTGGTTGACAAAGTTTCGCAGGTATCGATTGGCTCTCAGTACCCGTCGAAGATATTACAGTTCAGCAACCTGCGGGCAAGGGGCGTTCCACGGTCGTATTGTACAGGACAGACTACATTCAGGAAACCAAACGCTTGTTGGAAGATCGTCAGTCCTATATTCCATGTGAATCCAACCCATAGAAACGCTGGCGCGTGATCTTATCTTCTTCTTCTTCTGAACTCCACGATGACCTGGTTTTTGTTCCCTGAGTAGGGTCACACACTGCGCCTTTGCTGAGAATTGATCGACTTTTGATCATATACTAACCCGACACAACAAAAATATGCGAAAATATATTTTTTTCTTTGCGCACTCCCTGTTCGACAGCAACACTCAGTCATCCATAATGACGAGTTTGGTAGCCAGTCGAATGGGTGGCAAACACCATGGGCCTCCTGGAACGCAGTTTCTGATTCAGTTGCGTCATCCAAATGGTCAAAGGGAATCAGCCGTCATTGCAAAGGAACCACACGCCTGACGCAACATGGTCAGATGATGACGACAATGACAGTGATGGTGATGACGTTGATGATGAGGATGATAGTGGTGGGAAATGGGCCAGGTAGTTAGACTCCGAGCTATCGGAGATAGATTGGGCACCTGAACCCCCGTGATGGAATGTGGATCAAATTCCTTCAGAAGAAAAAGAAGAAGAGATCGCTTGAACAAGGGCTTTATTCGCCTGACATTTCGGATTCTCACTTGAACTTATCATCAGAGACGGAGGCAGAAAAGGGTAACTCGTGCACAGGAAGTTGCAGTATTTAAAGGATGCATTCGCTATGCTACCGCATACCTATAGCAGTTAGCCGCGCTCCCCTTCGTCAAGAATTGTTACCCGCTGGTGCGCTAATTGCTTGATGGCCGGCATGCAGGTTGTTAATTGCCGTGATTTCATCACCCGTGTTGGATGCTGGCGTGATGATTGCTCGGCCATCTGGCTCACCGGCCCGCGCGTTGCCCGAGTGGTCAATTACTTTGGCCAGCCTATGCCTCCGCACGGAATATGGAGTAGGTATGTCGTTGCACTTGTTGATAGACTGAGGTCCCGTGAACCATGACTCAAACAACTCGCGGCTCACGCGATTATCTCCTCTCGCGAGAATTTCAGCCTTATCGAACTTGAATGTGTGTCCGGGTCTCGTCGAAAGGGCCGCGACCTGAGAGTTGGCGTCATTTCTCCGTACCGCTGCCGCGTGTTCTGCAATTCGCGTTCGGAGCAGTCTTCCGGTTTTTCCGATGTAGTTGCTTTGTCCGCAACTGCACCATATCCGATAAACGACTCCAGATGTTTCTTGCCGTGGCAGTGGGTCTTTTGGTCTCATCACCTGACGCCTCATGGTGGCCTCCGGTCTGTGTGCAACTCCAACCCCAAGTGGTGCAAGAAGGCGGCTAACGGCCTCTGACACCTTCTTGATGTACGGGATCGCTCGCCAAAATTTGGAGTCGGCACTGGGTATGAAGGAGTGTACACAGTTAGCAGTAATCCTGACTTTCCAATCTCTTCGGCATTTAATAATTATAACTAGTATGGTGATAGAAGCGAACAGGTGAGTTCGAGGAAGCAGTTCAGAAGATGAGATCACTGGGACAAGAAATTTACTGACCTGACGTTTCTGATCCTCACTCGAACCCATTATCACCGCTGAGGGTCATCATTGATGCGATGATGGCTCGTCAGTCCGCGTCTGAATCGTTAACTGCCGCAATTTCGTCATCCGTGTTAGATGCTGGCGTGATGAATACTCGTCAGTTTACAGGCATTATCGCAATAAATACACGGGTAGATCGAGCAGGCAGCTATCGTCGAGGTACTCAGGAGAAGAATGTTCCGCCGGGGAATGGTGACAGCCCAGAACGGAAGTATTTGGCACGAGTAAAACGGAATTTGGGGCTCTGCACCAAACGAGGAAATATGTTCGAACAGTTGCTCGCCGCCTGCTGAAGAACTTACACGCCCCTGGGTGGCGGATCACAGAATCGACTCCGTTCACCTCAGGATGCAGCCAGGCCGAGAAATTAAGGATCACGACTCCCGTTACTACTACTACTACTACTACTACTACTACTACTACTACTACTACTACTACTACTACTACTACTACTACTACTACTACTACTACTACTACTACTACTACTACTACTACTACTACTACTACTACTACTACTACTACTACTACTACCACTACTACTACTACTACTACTACTACTACTACTGAAGTCGAATTCGGTAGATTTGGCCCCCAAAAGTTGTGGAGGTTGTTCGGAATACAGGGAGCGAGGGATGGTTGGTTTAGACAAAGAGGAATGCTGCCGAGTTTTTACGTCCCTGGGTATATTATGACATAGAATTTGTGTTAAAAGGCGTACATGCAAAAACAGACTCGGAGGCAGCGGCGTTTATCCATCCCTCTTCCTGTCTTCAATCTCATTTCGTTTTTGCTATCCTGCCACCACAACTGACGTACATAAATCGCCTTAGTTAGGAAAAAATATCATTAACTGAGTTAGAGGACTGCCAATAAAGCGTGTTTCGCCAAACCCTTACCAGTCATCGTCTGAACAATCCTCGCGTTTGAGGGGTTTAATGTATACAGAAGCAATGGTCGTCCTTTCAGGCGGCAGTGGCGGCTGGCGCAACCAGGGCTGGCGTTGACTGCGTCCAGTCCTGCCTGAGAGTCCTTGGGACAGTGGTGGCAGCCGCTTTTGTAGGCTCGTGGGCCAAACTCATGTGGTCTCCAGTCGGTGTGTGTGTGTTGCATTTGCCGAGGGGTGGCTTAGGTTGTGGTTGCAGGGAAAGCGAGACGGTGCATATCCAAGTGGCCGCATGGGCAGCTGAAACTGAGTGGATACAGGTATGCCCGAGCTGAAGTCGGTTGAGTGGCTTCAGGTCAGCGCGTCTGGGACGGCTCACTGCGATGGGTGAATGACCTTGAGGCAACGGGGCCTTGAACAATAACGCCGGACATGGTCATAATGGATTTCGGATACAAGACCTTTGAATTTGCGAGAACGT